TTCATATTGACATACAATGTAAGACCTAGAAACAGAGATTTATAGACCACCTGGTACTCCAAATCTTCGCATGAGCATAGAAGATTTCATTTCTTATAAAAGCTATTAGCGATACCAACTTGTAGATTTCAACTTTCCGCGATGAAAAAATCGATAATGATGTTTATTTTACATTGAATCAGTATGCATTGACATATTATTTCAACATATTCTCGACTGGTATTTTTGCAAAAGAAAAGATGGTAAATCTACATTACCTTTGCGATAGTGGCGATGTGCATGCTGGTTAAATATTGAAATCGACTTGGCATTTTTATGAATGAAAAATCGAAGTTATAAGATCTTCCCGGACTAAAATTAATATAAATTCTTAGAAATTACTTGTTTCATCATAAAAGTGTCCCGAAGTAGGAATAAAACGTGCTTTCCAATGTTGCATTGTCAACTATGTGTCCGAAGGCGGTGGTCGGGTGGTGCAGTGAATAGCGCTTTCGCCTTTTATCAAGGAGGCCGGGGTTCGATTCCTCTATCGGAAGTGAAATGTACATGTATGGCGGGGACCACTTGCCGGAACACGTTAATTTTCGCCAGGTTCTCCGGCTTCCTCCCACACTCAAACCCCAATGAACTCTAACATACGGGCCAACAGGAGTGAAGAATATCACTTGAAATATCATATTCATAATTGTTGTAAAGTGGACCAGGCTCAAAAAACTTTTTCCCCAAGTATTCTGTTGGAGAAATGTTTTTCAAACGATCTATTCATATACAAAGATTTAAAATTATGAAGCATTTCAACATCAACGTAGAAACCAATCACGCCTATATGTTTCTGTAGCGTCCTATTGGTCAAGAGCTTGGGTAATAACCTGATGGTCGCAAATTTTAGAAAAAAAACCCATCTTTATTACAATGAACTTATCCTTATTGTGTCCCTTTTGTCTGTAGGAGTACTAGTGTTTCCCTGTAGCCGGGCTGTTGTCTGTTACCTTCACTCTGTAGATCTGAGTCGGGGCTGGTGTCATTGTGTCATTATGTACTAATACCTCAAGTGTATACCCGTGATCTACCCGGTAATACCGACCTAACACTATATATAGCGACTAACGATCTGACACCCTATACAGCGACTAACAACCTAACCTGACACCCTATACAGCGACTAACGACCTGGCACCTTATACAGCGACTAACGACCTAACACCCAATACAGCGACTAACGACCTGACACCCTATACAGCGACTAACGACCTGACACCCTATACAGCGACTAACGACCTGACACCCTATACAGAGACTAACGACCTGACACACTATACAGCGAATAACAACCTGACACTTTACAGCGACTAACGACCTGACACCCTCTACAGCGACTAACGACCTGACACAGTATACAGCGATTAACGACCTGACACTATACAGCGAATAACGACCTGACACCCTATACAGCGACTAACGACCTGGCACCTTATACAGCGACTAACGACCTAACACCCAATACAGCGACTAACGACCTGACACCCTATACAGCGACTAACGACCTGACACCCTATACAGCGACTAACGACCTGACACCCTATACAGCGACTAACGACCTGACACCCTATACAGCGACTAACGACCTGACACCCTATACAGCGACTAACGACCTGACACCCTATACAGCGACTAACGACCTGACACCCTATACAGCGACTAACGACCTGACACCCTATACAGCGACTAACGACCTGACACCCTATACAGCGACTAACGACCTGACACCCTATACAGCGACTAACGACCTGACACCCTATACAGCGACTAACGACCTGACACCCTATACAGCGACTAACGACCTGACACCCTATACAGCGACTAACGACCTGACACCCTATACAGCGACTAACGACCTGACACCCTATACAGCGACTAACGACCTGACACCCTATACAGCGACTAACGACCTGACACCCTATACAGCGACTAACGACCTGACACCCTATACAGCGACTAACGACCTGACACCCTATACAGCGACTAACGACCTGACACCCTATACAGCGACTAACGACCTAACACCCTATACAGCGACTAACGACCTGACACACTATACAGCGACTAACGACCTGACACTATACAGCGACTAACGACCTGACACTATACAGCGACTAACGACCTGACACTATACAGCGACTAACGACCTGACACTATACAGCGACTAACGACCTGACACTATACAGCGACTAACGACCTGACACTATACAGCGACTAACGACCTGACACTATACAGCGACTAACGACCTGACACTATACAGCGACTAACGACCTGACACTATACAGCGACTAACGACCTGACACTATACAGCGACTAACGACCTGACACTATACAGCGACTAACGACCTGACACTATACAGCGACTAACGACCTGACACTATACAGCGACTAACGACCTGACACTATACAGCGACTAACGACCTGACACTATACAGCGACTAACGACCTGACACTATACAGCGACTAACGACCTGACACTATACAGCGACTAACGACCTGACACTATACAGTGACTAACGACCTGACACTATACAGCGACTAACGACCTGACACTATACAGCGACTAACGACCTGACACTATACAGCGACTAACGACCTGACACTATACAGCGACTAACGACCTGACACTATACAGCGACTAACGACCTGACACTATACAGCGACTAACGACCTGACACTATACAGCGACTAACGACCTGACACTATACAGCGACTAACGACCTGACACTATACAGCGACTAACGACCTGACACTATACAGCGACTAACGACCTGACACTATACAGCGACTAACGACCTGACACTATACAGCGACTAACGACCTGACACTATACAGCGACTAACGACCTGACACTATACAGCGACTAACGACCTGACACTATACAGCGACTAACGACCTGACACTATACAGCGACTAACGACCTGACACTATACAGCGACTAACGACCTGACACTATACAGCGATTAACGACCTGACACCCTATACAGCGACTAACGACCTGACACCCTATACAGCGACTAACTACCTGACACTATACAGCGACTAACTACCTGACACTATACAGCGACTAACTACCTGACACTATACAGCGACTAACGACCTGACACTATACAGCGACTAACGACCTGACACTATACAGCGACTAACGACCTGACACTATACAGCGACTAACGACCTGACACTATACAGCGACTAACGACCTGACACTATACAGCGACTAACGACCTGACACTATACAGCGACTAACGACCTGACACTATACAGCGACTAACGACCTGACACTATACAGCGACTAACGACCTGACACTATACAGCGACTAACGACCTGACACTATACAGCGACTAACGACCTGACACTATACAGCGACTAACGACCTGACACTATACAGCGACTAACGACCTGACACTATACAGCGACTAACGACCTGACACTATACAGCGACTAACGACCTGACACTATACAGCGACTAACGACCTGACACTATACAGCGACTAACGACCTGACACTATACAGCGACTAACGACCTGACACTATACAGCGACTAACGACCTAACACCCTATACAGCGACTAACGACCTGACACCCTATACAGCGACTAACGACCTGACACTATACAGCGACTAACGACCTGACACTATACAGCGACTAACGACCTGACACTATACAGCGACTAACGACCTGACACTATACAGCGACTAACGACCTGACACTATACAGCGACTAACGACCTGACACTATACAGCGACTAACGACCTGACACTATACAGCGACTAACGACCTGACACTATACAGCGATTAACGACCTGACACCCTATACGGCGACTAACGACCTGACACTATACAGCGACTAACGACCTGACACTATACAGCGACTAACGACCTGACACTATACAGTGACTAACGACCTGACACTATTCAGCGACTAACGACCTAACACCCTATACAGCGACTAACGACCTGACACCCTATACAGCGACTAACGACCTGACACTATACAGCGGCCGAGAAGCTTTCAATGTTTAGTTCAATCACCGCAAATTAAGTATTGTGTGAATTAATAGAAATCTGTCAAAGACGTCGAACATAACCTATATCTACCTGTCATGAATACCTGATATAATATACCATTCAACATCTCGGCTGATAAGGAAATGTTGTATTATTGCAATGATTAATAAAGTTGACAAACATGTGTATACGTACTTGGTCATTGTTGGACTATAGTTACCACTCCTACACTCCGCGTGCTGTACCCCCGGGGTCGGATGTAGGTCAGGCCTATATGTACTCTATTGAGACAACCCCTACCTTTACAAGCTTAAAAGGACATTAGTAAAAGTCGGAACTATGACGATAAAAATGACCATTGACCCTAGTCTGAATATAAGAACAGAGATAATTGGATTAAGTCATGTTTTCCTATATCAATGAATGTTTGTTTAGTTTTACAGAGGAATGAGGATATATATATACGTAACGCGATGAGGCCTGGTGTGTGATTTAGCTGACTATACTTTACAAAGTTGAACGTACCTACTGGCTACGTCATGTTCGCACGAGCGACCTCGTCAGTACAGTCATTATGTAATCTCAGTTGGAAACATTAATGATTACATACGTTGAATGGACTCCGTGTTTTTTTTTCAATTAGTATCGTATTTAAAGTGTTAGTGTAATATTTCAACAACTGATATCGCTACTTATATTTGATGGTTATACGGTTTTTACATCAACATTCTTCACCAATCTGTAGATCTTTTGGAGAACGGTCACGTGTAGCCTGAAAAGCGTGTGAACGCCAGGAGCCTGGTAATCGGTCCCCTGCATCAATGACTACCCAAACTGTAGCATACAGACCTAAATATGTCCTTAGAAAACTATTCGTCTTTAAAAGTGCGAAAACGATCATTAAAGAGCATACTGATGATTAAAATAAGTGTCCATGTCCTTCCGTTTCAGGTGAGCGTTACGGTCGGTGACCTGTGACTCCGTCCTGTAATCAACAACGACTAGCTGAAGTGTTACTAAAGGGAGGTAAATCGTCCGAAAATGTCTCGACCAATCAAAGACAGCAGAGGCAAGTCCATTCATCATACGTACGATAATACGGCGTTCACTATTAGTTATCCTTTCAATGAAAACGGTGATGGCAGTGGCGAGAGTCGGACACGACAGGATCTAGATAATACAGAAGTGACAGGACAGCCATGGCAGGGCTCCCTCTCCCCACCCACGGGCGCTGACGGGAGGGCATACAATCTTAATAACAAAAATGTTAAAGTTAGCGAAAACGCGACTTCTTTTAACAGTGGCTATATAGCTACAGAGGAGGAGAGTTGTTTCAGCAGAACACCTTTCCCCGGGGAATTTCTTACCCCCGGGTCAAGTTTACAGAGCAATATGTCTCAAAGTACACCCTTCCTTACCCCTAACGGGAGGGACGGAGTGAATGAAAAGGAAAAACACGCAGATTCACAGGAGGATTTGGAGAAGAATGGGAAGTTAGAGGGTGCGGCAGTGCACCCCGAGAGAGAAACATGGGGATCAAAAGTGGATTTTCTATTATCAGTGATTGGATTTGCCGTGGACCTGGGAAACGTGTGGCGATTTCCATATATATGTTATAAAAACGGCGGAGGTAAGTTACCTTTTACTTTCTTAGTAATAGTATATTGTGCTGTAAGTGTTTATTAAGATACAGTCTGACTTGCGTGTCGGTAAATGGTATATTATAAAGTGTGGGATACAGTTTAGGTAGTACCTATAGCTAAACAACATAATTTGACTTACACCGTTACAACTAGCCAGTACTATAGATGTAGCCCAGGGCCACGCGACACTCACGTAAATCACACTTATAAGATACCGACGCTTGTACAACAGTATTACGGCTTCAGTGTATTCTTCTGACAACCGAATCACAGAAGGAGAATTTGTATGTAATACAGTGACAGATATCGAAAACGTAGACCCGGAATGTCAGTCGGATCGATAGCCGGTTTCACCGTAATATCACCCAAACAACCAGCGCTTCACGGCCGAAAAATAGTAAACAGATGAAAACGCGATAAGACACAAAACCGGTATGCCTTATAGCTATTTTATCTGGTTACTTAATAACATCTCAGCGCTATTGTCTAGAGTCAAATCTCTACACCGTCCCTATAAGATATGTGTATCCCGTAGTGTTAGCACTGTAGCTGGTTCCAAACTTAGTTAGCTTCAAAGTCGGCAATGTAATACCAAAAAGTACCGTACAATAAGAAAGCTTTGTTATTGCTTTACATAAATTCTATCCAAGTTCAAGTTCTTAATTAACTTTAAGTCTTCAAACTTTTGGCGGTTTCAGCATTTTTATTGGATCTTGAATATGTATACTAGTGGCCTGGCGGTGTTTTGAAGATTGTATGTGGAGCAGCAGGATTATCGTACGTAATACAAGCTTAAACGATAACCTGTAAATATACTTCTTATTAGCGTTATCGATTTAGATACGCTCGTTTTAACTTCTAAACATAATACAAACTTGTATAATCTACTCAATTTTTTCTCTCGGGTGAACAGTTTTAGCCGGTTTACTTAATTTACTTATTTTGTCAATATGTGTTGTCGTTTCTGAAGAAAATCTCCTTTGTAGCGGCCGTATCCTACTGTTACTTCTGAAGTAAGCGTCCTATGTAGCGGCCGTATCCTACTGTTACTTCTGAGGTTAGCGTCCTGTGTAGCGGCCGTATCCTACTGTTACTCCTGAAGTAAGCGTCCTATGTAGTGACCGTAGTCTACTCTTACTTCTGAAGTAAGCGTCCTATGTAGTGACCGTATCCTACTGTTACTTCTGA